TTTTCTGCATCTGTGGCGATAATCATGTGATTCTTGACCTTGGCTCTGTTGATATGCTGGATTACATTTATTGACTTACGTATGTTAAACCATCCCTGTGTCTCTGGGATGAAGCCTACCTGATCATAGTGTATTATTTTTTTTATGTGTTTCTGGATTCTGTTAGCTAGAATCTTGTTAAGGATCTTTGCATCTGTGTTCATCAAGGAGATTGGCCTGTAATTCTCCTTTTTGGTTGGGTCTTTGCCTGGTTTGGGGATGAGTGTGATATTGGCTTCGTAGAATGAGTTTGGGATAGCTCCCTCCTTCTCTGTTTCTCTGAAGAGCTTGAGGAGTATGGGTATTAGTTCTTCTTTAAAGGTCTTATAGAATTCTGCTGTGAATCCATCTGGTCCTGGGCTTTTTTTTGTTGGAAGACTTTTGATAGCTTCCTGTATCTCATTATAGGATATTGGCTTATTTAATTGGTTAACTTCTTCTTTGCTCAGTTTGGGTAACTTGTATTTCTCTAAAAATGCATCCATTTCCGCCAGATTTTCTTCCTTTAGAGAGTATAGCTTTTGAAAGTAGTCTGTTAGAATTGTTTGGGTATCTTGGGTACGTGTTGTGATGTTTCCCGTGGCATCCCTAATCCTATTAATATGGGTTTCCTCTCTTCTTTTTTTAATTAATCTTGCCAACGGGCCATCAATTTTGTTTATTTTTTCAAAGAACCAGCTTTTTGTTTGGTTTATTTTGGTTATGGTTTTCTGATTTTCTAATTGGTTAATCTCTGCTCTCAATTTGGTTATCTGGCTTCGTCTAGTAGCTTTAGGTCCCATTTTTTCTTGTTTTTCTAGCTGTTTTAGTTGCAACATGAGATTATTTACTTGGTCTGTCTCCATTCTCTTGATGTGGGCACTGAGGGCAATAAATTTGCCCCTCAGGACTGCTTTTGCTGTGTCCCACAAGTTTCTTTGTGAGGTGTTTTCATTTTCATTGAGTTCTAGGAAATGCTTTATTTCTTCTCTGATCTCTTCTGTTACCCAGGCCTTGTTAAGGAGTGTGCTGTTCAATTTCCATGTATTAGAGAAATTTCTGCGGTATGCTTTGTTATTGAGAGCTAGCTTGATTCCACTGTGGTCAGATAGGATACAGGGGATTATGTCGATCCCTTTGTATTTGCTTAAGTTCCTTGAATGAACTATGATATGGTCTATTTTGGAGAAAGTTCCATGAGCTGCTGAGAAGAATGTGTACTGTGTTGTTTTAGGGTGAAATACTCGGTAGATGTCAGTTAATTCCGCTTGAAGTATGGCCTCACTTAATTCGGTAGCTTCTTTGCCAATCCTCTGGTTGGTAGACCTGTCCTTTGGTGAGAGTGGCGTGTTAAAGTCTCCTAGTATTATCGTATTGGGATCTATTTTATTCTGTAAGTTTGAGAGCATTTGTTTAACATATCTGGGTGCACCGATATTTGGGGCATATAAGTTGATGATGGTTATATCCTCCTCTTGGATTGTTCCCTTTATTAATATGTAATGTCCGTCCTTGTCTTTCTGTACTGATTTTAATGAAAAGTTTATTTTGTCAGATATCAGGATAGCTACACCTGCTTTCTTATTGGGGGAATTTGATTGGTAGATCCTTTTCCACCCCTTCACTCTGAGTTTGTTTGTATGTTTGGCTGAGAGGTGGGTCTCCTGAAGGCAACAGATGGATGGGTCTTGTTTTCTGATCCAGTCCTCAGTTCGTTTTCTTTTAATTGGCGAATTCAGCCCATTTATATTAAGAGAAAGTATAGAGAGATGCATTGTTGTCCCTGCCATTCCGTTTTCCTAAGTTTTTCTTCTTTCCTTTCCTCCTGTGCTTGCTCAGTTAGACTTTGAGTAATGCCTGTTTGGGGCAGGTCCCAGTTCCTGGTTGCTTTCTTCAGGTTGTGTCCCCCCTCTTAGAATTCTTTGTAATGCTGGCTTAATGTTTATGTATTCATTTAGTTTTTCTTTGCTATTAAAAGTTTTCAGTTCTCCATCGAATGTGAATGCTAGCTTTGCCGGGTATATCAGTCTGGGTTGGCAGTTATTGGCTCTCAGGGCTCGTATGGTGCTTTCCCAGGCTTTTCTTGCATTCATTGTTTGTGTGGAGAGATCTGCAGTGATTCTAATTTTTTTCCCGTTGTAGTATAGCTCCTTCTTCATTTTTGCTGCATGCAGGATTGTTTCCTTATTATTCAGATCCATCATTGTTACTATTATGTGCCTAGAAGTGTTTCTCCTGGGATCTTGCTTGTTGGGTGTTCGATAAGCTTTTGTGATGTAGTTAAGATGGTCGTTTTTGAGGTGGGGAAAATTTTCATTGACTATCTTGTTAAATAGGTGTTGCATTCCCTTGCTCTGGAATTCCTCACCTTTGTCCACTCCGATTATGCGAAGGTTAAATTTTTTAGCATTATCTGCTTGCTCTTGAATTTCCCTTTGGTTTAATTTGAGTGATTTTTCCATATCTGTCACTTTTTGGTCCAGTTGGTGTATTCTGTCTTCTGTATCTGACACTCTACCTTCCATTTCATTCACTCTGTTGACCGTGGCTTCTATTGTGGTTTGCATGATGGAAATGGATCCCTTTATGGATTCAATGTTGGTTCTCAGAGTACTGATCTCACCTCTCAATGAGGTGATATCAGTATGCATTACCTCTAATTTGGCGTTTATCTCACTTCTTACTGAGGTTTGTGCAGCTTCTATTTTTGCATCCAATTTTTGTTTGATATCCTGTATATCTTTTGATAGTTCATCCTTGTGCTCTTTCAATTTCTGATCCATTTCTCGCTTTATTTCTTGAGTCATTGCCTCCAGCAACCCTTGGATGTAGTTTTTGTCTTCCATTCCTGCTTTGCTCCCACTGGGGCTCTCCCCTGCGTGGCTGCTGGCTTTTGAGGTGAGCTTGCTGTCCTGGGTAGTGGTAAACCTTGTGATTTTTCTCTGTGATTTTCGCATGGGGGTTCAGGAGACTGCTCTTCAATCTTGTTTTGGTGTGTCTGTCTTTGCTTGGTTGCTGATTCTCTATTGGTAGAGAGAGTCTGTGTCTGATCTGGATTCTGTTGGGAGCCTATTTCCAGCTGCTATTCACTTAGGATTCTCAGCTCTCTGCTGTAGCAATTCCCGCCTTTGGAAGGGTTGAGCAGCCTAGACTGCTTGTGTTTGCTCCTGCGGGTGCTCTTGGGAAGATCAGATGCTCTGGATGCACTCTCCCAAATACTGGAGTCTGCTATGGGCTCCTGATGTGTTTTTGTTTGTTTTGGGCTGGTTGTGGGCTTGAACTCTAGGTTTGGGTGCTGTCCCTCAGCTCTTCAGCTCAGGGCTGGCACCCTACCATTTGAGCCACAGCCCCACTTCTGACCCTTTTTGCTTTGTTCAGGCGCCGGTCCCCTGGCCTGGTTCCGGCCCCAGCCTGGAGCGCGCTCGTTAGGCCTGTGCTAATGTGTATACCACCTTGGTTATGCAGCCTGGAGGACACAGTTCAAATTTCTTCTACTGTTGGTAGTCTTGACCCAGGGGCACTGTTCCTGGCTTGAGCATTTAAGCTCCCTTCCCGGGGCGCTCTTGCTCTGGCCTGGCCAGCAGAGTGTGCTCCACCTGCTGGTGGGGCTCTCGAACAGTTCCCAGTTTTAGTGGGTCCTGTGGTCCGGGTGTTGGGGTAGGGAGTCTAGGTCAGGGTCTGGGGATTCCCTCCAGCTCTGGTCTCCCTTGATGGATTCCCTGTCCCCTGATGGGTACTCACCCTGTAGGTCGTCAGTTGTTGTTGCAGTCCGTCAGTTGTTGTTGCAGTCCGAGTTCAGTTGGGGTGGTTGCGGGCTGGGTTGGGCGGCCCCCCGCCGGGTCGTTGCGATCGCGACAGGTCCCTTTGTGGCGCTGCTGGTGCCGGGCGGCTTTGGCGGGATGGAGCCTCTCCGCTCCGGTGGAGAGTGATGGGTGGGGTGGGATCCTCCTGGAGACTCCCGGCTGGTAGGTTTCTCTGTTCCTGGAGATCCGCTGTTCTGCAATCCGGTACCTGGTGATCTGCAAGCAGCCCCCTGTGTCTCTGTGGCTCCGGCAGCCCCCGCCGGGCCGGCTGGCCGGCGGCTTGGCGCACTGCCGCGCGGCCAGTAAAGGTTGGGGGAGGGGTCTTCGCTCTTCTCTGTTCTGAAATTCTTCTTTTCCTCTCTTTCTTTTTTTGTTATTTTCCACCTCTGGTTTTTCTCTGAGTGTTCGTCTTTTTGTTGTTGTCGGTCTCTTGGGGAGATTAAAGGTTGGAACTCGAACTCTCTTTTTGGTTGGAGAGAGCTGTGGCGTTTCCCTACTGCCCCGTCGCCATCTTGAGAACTCTCTCATAAGTGGAATATTTTTTAAAAAAAGATTCAGACTGTTTATAAACACGTGTTTGTTCTATTGAGCAGTTCAAAATTTCTATTCTGTATACTAAAGAGGTATTTGCATGAGGATGGGTAAAATTAAACCAGTTTTCTATTGTGTCTATGACTGATTTCCATTACTTTCTGTAGATTGGTGATAGTAAGCTTTATTAAAATGCTTCCTTTTGGGTAAGGGCACATCCCTGATATATTAAGCTGAGAAATAATTATTTAATGGAATGCAAAGAATGACATAGAAATGAGAAAACCACAACTATATAAATGATGCATTATGAGTGGCAGTGAAGAATTCTGTTCAGGGAATTTTAGTTTTGTACCTTTGAAGAAATGTGTCTTGTCTAATAAAAAAAAGAATGTAAGGAATTCAAGAGCATTCTAACAAGGCAGTGAAGCAAGTTCAAAAGTTTTAATGAGCTGAGTGCCTCACTTCTGGTTAGCAAACAGATTCATGAGTTGCTTCAGGTATATTCATAATTTGGAATGGTAGAAAAAAATGGCCACAGGCTGATCACCTGCTCTGCTCAGGGTATATAAGCCCCCTGGACACACTCTGACAATCATACTCAGGATTACCTTGAACAGCAAGCTTAACCCAACTCCACTGACAAACATGAGCTATTACGGCAGCTACTACGGAGGCCTGGGCTACGCCTGCGGAGGCTTCGGAGGCCTGGGCTGTGGCTATGGCTGCGGATGCAGTGGATTCGGCAGGCTGGGCTGGGGCTCTGGCTGTGGAGGCTACGGCTATGGCTCTGGATTTGGGGGCTACGGCTATGGCTGCTGCCGTCCTTCATGCTATGGTGGTTATGGATATTCCAGCTTCTACTGAAATGCTACTGTGGTTACTTCGTATCCGTGATCTGGAGTTTCTTTTTTTTTTTTTTAAGACATTCTTCAGTTAAGGAGATGAAATTCCTCACAACCTATCAAACATGCGAATCTGGTCCGCCAGCTTTGGGACCATAAACTAGTTTCTGTCTAATTCCTAATAAATAAACTAGTATTAAATTAAAAACATGGCTCTTTTTGGTTCATAATTATTCAATTATGTATATACATATGCATGTACATTCTTAATCAAGCTTAGTAATACGATTCCTACAAGTTTACAGATGCAAGGAGTGTATAAATGAATTAGAATATAAAGAGTACTTCAAACAGGATATAATGAGATTGAAATGGTAATTATTCAGAATTGATCAGTGCATGTTATATGCACATCTTGAAATATATGGTCATAAAATATGATATATGAAATAACATGTTTATTACATATTTTTATGAAAAAGTTACACATAATATAGACAAATGTTTTCTTCATTGAAAATGCATTTAGTGTTTAAAATCATTAAATATATCATTGGGATCTTATATCATTTTTACTTATAGACACAAGCTTATGTATAAAAACCAAAACAATATCTATCTTTGATTATAGTCACATGCTCTACAGACCTGCACAGGAAGAATGTGAAATCCTTAGCTATACAATCTACTCACAATTCTAAATGATTCTTTAAAAACAGGAACCTTTATTTTAGCAATATTTTTCTGACATGGTGAATAAAATGCAACAAGTGGTATTAGAACAGCCCAGAAATGATAGAGCAAGGCAAGAGTTGGGCAAATGCTACTCTCATGCCAGAAATCTTGTTGCAACAACCCTCCCTGACTTAAACACTACCCAGAACACTCAGTGTGTTGCATAAGTTATGCTGCAAATAGCCCTAACTTTAATACAAATTAAAGTCATAGCCATCATTGGGAAAAATGCCAGCTGGAAGCTTGGCTTTATTTGACACTAGGTCAAAGTAGTTAATACAGCCCCTGGAAATAAAGAACATGCCTATTTCCATTGATGAATAAACCATTATGGGATTAAATTTGTATCAAAAAATTTTCCTCATAAATCCCATAAAGAAACAGCAATATGATTGCTCCTATAAAATAAATAAATTTTATGAGTCCCAAGTTTCAAGAAATGGGTGTGTCTGGTTGAGGTTCAGCCATGAGATCAACACTGAACATCGCCACCTCTTGTAAACTGAGCTGGATGGCATTGTTAAGTAGCAGTCTAACAGTTGTCCTGGAGAATATCTCCTTATCCCCTACCTTATTTTTTTGTATTGTTGTCTGATAATTAGAGAGTTTACTAAGTTGTTCTGATTTCTTCATATCTTTTAAAAAATCCAGATGGTTTTTAAGTGATGAAATAAGTTTTAAACATGAAACATAATTAGTATATTAAAGAGATCTAATTCACTACAAACACAAAATAGTTAAGGTGGAGACACTGGTAGATGTTTTATGTAGATTCAGAAGACCAAAATAAAGTGACAGAGTGTTTATCTGAGTGAATCAGTGGAAGACAAAAATCCTATCATCTGCTTCACTTGGACACAGAAAAGAAATGGTGGGAGGAGGAAAAAGAGGAAATTTGATGATATTTGAAGTAAGGTTTGTAAAATGTACAAGATCCATGGACTAAGACAAAAAGTAGAGAGAGAACCCCAAAGCTGCCAATTACTCTGAAGAAAGGACAATGGATTGGTAAAGAGAATTCTTGCAGGACTTACTAAGCAGGGTTTTTATTACTCTAACTTGTCTCTTTACTTATGCCACATTGTGAGCATAAACAAATCGTTCACATGCTTGTGTATAATGTCAAAGTTACATATGACAATTGTGCATGATCAAAGTTTAAAGACTAGAAGTCACATGACCGTTGCTCTTTGCTGTTACATGTAGCCAGTGAGTCAAATGTATGATTCTAAATATGTGGAGAAATGGATATATTTAGGGATCTTGCTTTTGGCTTTAGGAATCTTGGATACTTAAAAGCTTTGTATGATCAGTTATTACAAATCATTATCAACATGACTGAAACTATATTTAATGATATAATCAAGAAGATAATCAGAATGTGGTTGTGTAGCCAGTAATAAAGTCCTATTAGGGTTCACTATGTGCATTCTTGCAATTCCTTCAAATAAAACTAAAGCAATAAGCTGCTGGACGATCTAACTAGGTCGCCAAACAAGCTCACACATTCTTATCAGGTGTTCCCTGTCTTTTTCTTTAAGTAACAACAAACTCATGAGTTGTCTCATGCGAGTACAATCCTTGGAATGGCATTAACAGGAGGGTCATGTGGTTTTTACCACCTGTTCTGACTAGCATATATAAGCTTTGCTGTAAAGATTGCTGACACTCACATTCAGAATCCCACCTTGCACAGCAAACTAACCACACTGACACCATGAGCTACTACGGCAGCTACTACGGAGGCCTGGGCTATGGCTACGGAGGCTTCGGAGGCCTGGGCTGTGGCTATGGCTGCGGATGCAGCACCTTCAGCAGGCTGGGTTGGGGCTCTGGCTGTGGAGGCTACGGCTGGGGCTCTGGCTACGGCTCTGGCTTTGGAGGCTACGGGTATGGATGCTATCGTCCATGCTGTGGAAGATACCGATTCTCCAGCTTCTATTAAATGAATGCTTGAGTCTGGAAACAGAGAGACCACTTTCAGTAGTGGGTCTTATCCTTTGCTCTTTTTCCAGAACCATCCATCTGATTTTCTCTATCATCTATCCATCTTTGAGTTGTTTTTTATGAATATTTGTGGTCTTTTAACCTCCGTGTCCATCATCCAAATGAATAATTCATATGTATAATCCAATTTGCCTCCTTGTTTTCTTCTAACCACTATTACTGATAATCCTTGTAGCCAGGTCTTTGAGAAAACTTGTGTTTTGCTTTTGTCTGATAAGTGAATTATTTAAATATAAATGTTTTGGCTTATTGGAATGTTCTTAATTTTTATTATTTCTGTGTCACCTTACGAAACAGTGATGTCTGTGGCTCTAGGAAATGTTTCTAGTTCATTTCATTACACAACATTGAGAACATATTTAGACATACATGAAGAATAAATTCATATGTCTGACTTCCATTTATGTGTCGTTCCTCTTAAATGCCCTCGTGTGGTTTTGCAGTTGCTAAGGAGACTATGACTGTGAGGTTCTATGAGGTAAAAGAGCATCCACCTGCACATCCTCATGCTACTCCTGCTCCAGTCAGCCATGACTTTTATTTCTTGACTGTCTTTGTTTTGAAGGAATGGAGATTTGAAAGCCTAATTGATTGCCTTTGCAGGAACTCGAGTCTATGGCTGACATCTAGTAGGGGCCATGATCACTTATAACACTGCTCATCCACTCTCCCTCGCCCTCACCATGAAGAAGGGACACTAGTGATCACCGTATTCTAAGACACAGAGATGATCCAAATCAGGGAACAGGAAGTCAGACCCAGCTGGCTGGGCACTGGGGGCACACGCCTCTGATCCTAGCTACTCTGGAGGCTGAGATCTGAGGATCACAGTGTGATGGCAGCCTGGGTAGGAAAGCCTGTGAGAGTCTTGTCTCCAATTAACCACCAGAAAACCAGACATGGCACTAGGGCTCAAAGTAGTTGAGCACTAGCCTTAAGTGGAAAAGATTAGATATAACTCCAAGGGCCTGAGCCCCACGAGCGATTTTTAAAAAAGGACAGAAAGGAAGAAAACAAGAATGAGAGATAGAAAGGAAGAAAGAAAGAGAGAAAGAGAGAGACAGAGGAGACAGAGAGACAGAATGAGAGAGAGAAAGAGAAAGAGGAAAGAGAAAGAAAGAAAGAAAGAAAGAAAGGAAGGAAGAAAGAAAGAAAGAAAGAAAGGAAGGAAGGAAGAAAGAAAGAAAGGAAAGAAGGAAGGAAGGAAGGAGGGAGGGAAGGAGGGAAGGAGAGAAGGAGGGAGGGAGAAAAGGAGGGAGGGAGGAAGGGAGGAAGGAAGGAAGGAAGGAAGGAGGGAAGGAAGGAAGCTGGAATCCAGAAATCAGCAGTCTCCTTTAGGCTCATGGAGTCCTAATTCTACTCCCTTTGTGGCAGAGTCTCAGCTGTTCTGACATCAGGTTAGATCACTTTCCACCTTGCCCCCAGGAGAGGAGGTGCCTAACCCCTACCCAGGTCTGCTCCCCTGTGTCCAGGACCTCTGCTCTAGCAGGACCACTGTTTCTATCTCTTAAGCCTTCAGAAAGACAAAGGGCATTGTTTCAATCATGCCCCTATCTCTCCCTGTGTACAGTGTCTCTAATCTTCCACCTTTCACCTGTCTGTCAGTGGTAGCATATGAGGGCTTTCCTGATTTATATTTTTCTACTTTTTAGTGGGCTCTTAATATTTTGTTTATCTTCTTACAAATGGATGATGACAGAGTCAAATGCTAGTATCACACACTATGATTTACTGTAAATGAGTTGCTCTTGCCTGTCAGCTCCAGCCTCTTTAGTCATGAAGGTCAGAGATCCTGGCTCTTTCTTCCCTTCGAATTTACTCTCTCCCTTAATTTTTCCTGACATATTGCCTTTGAGCATGTTCCACAAGTTTATCATTCCTGACCAGGCATCATGGAACCTTCACAGTGAGTCACGATGAAATCTTTCTTTGGTCAGCTTCTCAGCTGACCTTTTCAAAATGGCCACAGATGCCTATTCTGTTAGTTTGTTTGTGAACATACATGTCTCAGCACACTTAAAGTAAAATTTAGACCACTGCCAAATTCCAAAAATGTTTATTGCTCTTCTCTAAAAAGTTACTTTTATCATAGAAGATTGGTCTATTTACCTATGCTATAAGTTAAATTATAAAACAAAATATTGGAAGAAAAGAAAGTACAGAAAGAAAAGAAAGAGGTAATGAAGAAGAGTTAGAAGAGAAAGAGGCAGGGAGAGAAAGAGAATAGGAAAAAAGCAAAAGAAGAAAGACAAAAATTAAATTAAATTAAATCACTTGCTTATATGTAATATTCTATGGAATGTTTCCCAGTTTTTTATGAGTATAAAATATATAACAATCAATGATCCCCAATAGATCCCTTTTGCAAACACTGTATGCATGTATGCATGCATGCATATAGGCAAGTATGTATATATGATGTATGTATTCACATTTGTTTTGGAATTTGAACTCTGGGCTTTGCACTTGCTGTCAAATGCTCTTCCACTGAGCCACATCTCCAGTTCTTATAACTTTGTAGTGTAGTTTTGAAACCTAAGACTTAGTTTTGTCAAAATCTCTTGGACAATAGTTATTTTAATCAAAGTGCAGTAGAATAAGTTCTTCATAGGAGCAACTGAAGTTACTATCCTATATGGTTTGTATGTTTGAGTTTAGTATAATGTAAAATCCATTTATATTTACTCTGTAAAAGATGTAATTATGAATAAATATTGCCCTGATAAGCATATTTTTTAAGTGGTGAGTCCTTTTAAAGAGTCATTATTTGAATGGATGATAAATGATTGCTCAGTATAACTCCAGATAAGACATGTTGACAAGAGATAGTTGGGCACAACATTGCCATTAAGGTTAAGTGCTGGTCTTAGTTGAAGGCCTTTTTTATTTCTTTAACTGTCTAGATGCTATTATATTTGATTTGTACCCACATATAATTAGTGCTTTTCTTGAATGTCCTGGAGTTTAGAAACATAGTGTAAAATCTGTGCTTATAATCTTGTCACATTGCTAAAGAATTGGGAGCGAGTACCATAAGACACATTTTTAAATTGTGGTCACTTTGTAGTTCTGTTTTGGAGAACAATTATCTGTCTATAGATCTATTTAATTAGTGGCATATAAACACATACATTTTCTGAATGCAAATAGGGAGAACATTTCCAAATTTAAAATATAGTTCTTAAATTCAAAGAAAAAAATAGAGTTCAGTATACACAGAATGTCAGAGATTGCATATCTTAGGATTTAGCATTAACTGATGGAAAAGGAGAAAATCGGAGGGGGAAATATTTTTTTGAAATGTAGATACTCAAAGAAAAATTTATTTTCTCTAGTGAAAAGGTGCTTACAGACATAAATTTCTGAAATCATTCCTATTATTGAGCTTAAGTTGGTGACAGGAAATCCAAGGATGGAAATCAATACAAAATGGTCTCATCAATTAAAATACTCTATTAATCATAGGAAGATGTTAATGAATATTGAAACACAGGTGATAGCTATCTATCTATCTATCTATCTATCTATCTATCTATCTATCTATCTATCTATCTATCTACCAAAAGTTCAGGATAAAGGTTTTGTTTTGGTTGGTTATGGGGCCTGAACTCTGGGCCTGGGCGCTATCCCTCAGCTCTTCAGCTCAAGTCTAGCGCTCTACCGCTTGAGCCACAGAGTCACTTCTGCCTTTTTCTGCTTATGTGGTGGTGAAGAGTGGAACCCAGGGCCTCATGCATGCAAGGCAAGCGCTCTACCACTGAGCCACCTTCCCAGCCCCAACTGTTCTTTTTTTTAAAATGTAAGTAGAAGTCTCTTCTGTAACAAGGGACTCCAAGGACCACTTGGATTGGTGGAGAATGGTTCCAGGAATCATCCAGCCACTCACTCAGAATGAGAAGAGTTGCTCCTGTGCTGCTTCATCTCTAAATCAAACTACCCTATCTCCCATTAATACAGCTGTGTATCTAGGAGTATTTAAGCTTCTTGCTTTTTCATTTAATCTTGCTAGTACCATAGGCATTATGCATCACTCAGGCTATAACTTCTTGCATATGCCTCTGTTTTTTTAACTGAATCCCTCTAAGAAATGGTATATAAGGCTCTTAAAATACTGCTATCACTATGCAACTATAAGAATGGCTAAGAGACTATGAAAACACAATTCAGTGTGTCAAGGATTATGGAGGCACAGAGCTGGCCCACCAGTTAGGATTCTCAGCAAGTATAAAGTGAGTTTAATATGGGAATTTACCTAATGATCCATGACATCTGTTAAACATTTGCCTTCATTATATTAGCTCTCCCTTGACCTCAGATGGTGTGCCCCTCACTTCCCGTAATGAATTTCACCTTGTCAACAGAAGCATTATTTTCATTGTGATAGCTTCCTGATTCCAACAGGAAAATGACAGCAGCATGGACAAATGTCACTTTCTTAGAGAGGAGGGAGACTTCTATCTACTCTCATGTAGATTTCTCTTCATGGTGGTTGCCAACATGCATGTGAAGTGCATCTAAAGCAAAATATTATAGTATATGATTCAAGTAGTATAGCTCCCATTGAGCAAGAACAACCTCTGAGTCCAACCTCCATTAAAACACACACACACACATACACACACACACACACACACACACACACACACACACACACAGAATGACTGCATCTATTTTTTTCTGTTTATTCATGTACTAGCTCATTTGCATTTTGTGCCATTCTTGATTCCCTATGATCATATTTGCACTCTCATTATATTAAGGAACCCAGAATTAACCTATTTGACATAACCATCAATCTTCCAGGGTACTGAAAATATTTGCATACTACCAAAGTAAAGCTGAAGGAATTTTAAAAATCCCTGAAGTCAGCTAATCTTTACAAGGCAAGACTAGATTGTAAACTTAAGAACCCTGAATGCAGTGCTCTATCTACTGACC